GCAGCAACCCTGTGATAAGTTGCGGCCAATGACACTATTATCCTACTGTAATTCCAATTTACTAGGCTTGGGTGATAAAGTCCTTAGTACCCTTCTCTTTGAGAATCCTTCACAAGTGTCAGAGTGGGAGACATGAGACTGTGCCCAGCCAACCCTGGGATTAGAAACCTCTGAAGTCTGACTTCTCAGTTTAGTAACAGTCAATAGTCTTTGTGCTTCAAATATACCAGAACATCAACAGTGAGAGGAGATAGCACAAAATCTCTAAGGGCATACATTTATGGAGCTGTGTGTGTGTGTGTGTGTGTGTGTGTGTGTGCGTGTGTTTTCTGCACAAAGTTTTGGCCCCAGGCAATTTACTGGGCTTTGACTTCCCTCAGGGGTATAGCTATAGGGAGGCTCAAAGTGGCAACATTGGCTTCTGCATAGGAATTATGACACCACCCCCACTGAAATTTTCCTTCAGTTTCCAAATTTCTAGCATTGAAGAGAGAGAAATTGAAAATCATTCACCCATAGAACTCTTCTATTTGCTGTGTTCGCATACCCTTGATAACTTTGCCTGCTGCTTTTCTCTGGATACCTAACCTCTATTTCTAAATATGCGACTGACGTTTGAAGTTACTGCAATGCTAGAAATTTGGAAACTGAAGCAAAATATCATTTGGTGAGCAGGATTCTTATTTGCAATGCCTTCATCCCACCCCCCTACCTCCATCCCGACTCCCTTTGATGAGTGTCCTACACACCAGACTTTCCATTAATTTTTTAAAAAAGCATCAAAAGGTCCATCCTCTTCAAGAAAGGATGCTGGTATAAGCTATTGTTTCAGCAGTGAAGTGCCAAACCATAAAGCTTTTAATCCAGGATCTTAGTTGCTAATGATATCTATATGGAACCAAGCAATGACAACCTGTTCATGTTCTTCTATTTACTAGAAAAGCAACTAGCGCAGTGGTACTCAAACTCTTTACATTTGAGTGCCCTTTTTTAATTTTACATGTGGATGTCTTGACACCTCCACTCGACATAGTACAGTTGGCCCTCCGTATTGGCGGGCTAGCCATCTGCGGATTGGAACATCCACGGATGGCCTTGCCCATTATTGTCAATGGTGGTGCATGCATGTGACCATGCCAATGAAGTTGTGCACATGTCACGAGTCCATTGACAATCATGGGACTTGAGGTCCCATGCTTTTTACTATCCATAGGGTGGTCCAGAATGGAACCCCTACTGATACGAAGAGCCAACTTTATATACATAAAAATATTTTGTTTTTGTTTTTATTGTGTCCTATTTTAATCTACATATTCAAGTACAGTGAGCCTTTTCTATATATAGGGGACCTGTTCTGGACAACCTTTCCCCCTGCATATGGCAAATATGGCGGGACCTCAAGTCCCATTGAGTTCTCTGACTGCACACTAATGTGTGTGGTGCACCGTGCACACCATTTTAAAGCCCAAGACTTGCTGTGCGTGGAGGCTTAAGGCCGCATATGGCAAGCCTGCGTAAGATGTGGGCACGCTGTATATTCATATTCTATTATGTTATAAGGAAATGACATTGTTCAAATTAGAACAGAATGATTTAAGTAAATTCAATAGTTAACTGAATGCATGTGTAAATTTTACACATTAAAAAGTTTAGAAAGAGGAGGAGGAACAAGAGGGATCAAGGACTCCAAGTATCGCAGCCCCCTTGGGGAACTCTCAGGTACCCTGGGGTCCCGCTCCACTGTTTGAGAACCACTGAACTACCAGATTGCTTTACTAGCAAGCAATCTGATATCGGTCTGCTGTGAAGTAAGCACCACTAAATACAAAGAAACTTGCTTCCTGACAAATATAGATACGATTAACACAATGGGACAAAATGAGCTGTATCTTGAGGTTGAATTTGTAAATTATACTCCTCTCTTCCATTGGAAGGCTGCCAACAATTCCTGCTTGGTTGCCAGTAGCATCTCATGCAAGCACTGATCAAAACTATACCTGCTACTCTTCCCAGATTTTGGGGGAAAAATATTTTTGAGTAGAACTCCAACTCCAAACGTTTCCTAGTCAGCATGGGGAATGTAATTTTTCCAAGCTCTCATACTTCCGTACCATTCACGCAAGTTAATCCTACCATGTTCTATTTAATCAGAAATGGAGGATCAAAAAATAGGGAATTTGGAGGGCAGCGATAAGTGGTACACACTGTAGATTACTAGTTGCATGGCAAGTTTATAGATGGCGCTCAGAGAGGAAGTGCTTGCCCATATCCAACCTAAGGGATCTGCAAAAAGAGAACAAGCCCCACTTTATGTGGGCATGAAAATACTAAGCTAAACTTAGAAAAGACTACAACTCCCAAAATCCCTCAACTGGTGACCATGCTGGATGCATGGTTTTGAGAGCTGTAGCCCCCAAAACACATTTTCCAAACTATGTTCCAAGTTCTGAGAAAGGGAAGCAATAAAGTGAATTAGAGGGACTTACCCTTCATGCTCCAGTTGGTATTTTATTATTCCCCAGGAAGCGACAAAAAGCACTGGAACACCTGAAAGGAAACACAGAGGTGGGCATTATGCTGTAACAAGACTTTTTACGTAAAGGTCCTGGTGCATCTGGATTTGTAGATTACTACATGAGAGAAAGTGTGGCATAGTGGTTTGAGCATTGGAATATGACTCTGGAGACCAGGGTTTGATTCCCCGCTCAGCCATGAAACCTAGGTGACCTTGGGCAAGTCACATGCTCTCAGCCTCAGGAGAAGGCAATGGCAAACCTCCTCTGAACAAATCTTGCCAAGAAAACCCCAATAGGTTCACCTTAGGGTCTCTATAAGTAAAACATTACTTGCAGACACATAAAACACACACATAAAAATCAGTTAATGCTGGGATAGTTGGTATATAGGAACTGGGGGATGTTTTATTTATTTCATTGATTAACATATTTCTATCCTGCCCTATATTGAAACATCTCAGGGCAGGGTTCAAGTAAAAGCAGTGTGAACAAGTTAAAAGAATTTAAAACAATAAAATAATTTAAATAGACTAAAGTATATTACATGTGATTAGCAAGTTAAAAACAGGTTTAAAAGACTATGCATTAGCATTTTGAAGTAGAACAGTGAGGCTTTAATAAACAGCCATGGCTAGTATTTTACATTGGCTGCTTAGTCAAGGATGCTCAACTATGTAGTGTCTCCTAGCCACCCCAACCTACCCTACAAGGAAGAAGCTGCTCTGAAAGAAGGAGGTCCATTGTGGGGGTGATCATAGGCTGATCACTGAATGGGTGGCTTTTCCACCTTTCTCCCACCAGTGAGTGAAATTGCCACAACCAGAAGAATGACTCCTGTTACAATTCTTTGTTACAGCCTTGCTTGCTTGCAGGATGGAGGTGGAAACATCACCCATCCATCCTCTGATTGTCAGGAAAATGGACCTCCTTAGCTCAGTGTGGCCAGTGCCTAGTAAAGCGGGTTTGGAACAGCAGTTATGATCGTGGCAATAGCACCATGATTGTGACTACATAGGGATCATAAATATGGAGCAATTATGGATGCGTAACTCTTGGTTACACATCCATAACTGTGATAGTGAATGCCAGCTAACATTTTTATTTGGCTCCTAAGTGAAACCAGCTGGGCCTCCAACGGGGGGACATTCCACAATTGGAGTGTCATAGTTGATAATGTCTTCCCTTCTGTCCTCATTAGTGGGACACAGAGGAGTCCCCAGTAGACCTCAGTCCTCAGAGAAGCACATACAAATGCTACTGATTATCTTAGAGGTGTGGAACCAGCAGCCCTTCAGTCATTGCTGGGCTACAGCTCCCCTCATAGCTGACCCCTGGCCTTGCTGGCTGGGGCTGAAGGGAGCTGGACACTAGCAACATTGAGAGGAGTATCAAAGCAAAAGCAGCTTCATTTATATACCGCTTCATATCGCGCATGGGATGTCTAAGCGGTTTACAACTGTGAGCTGATTGCCCCCCCAACAATCTGGGTACTCATTTTAGCGACCTCGGAAGGATGCAGGCCTGGGTCAAGCCTCAGCCCTGGCTGGTATTGAACTCGCAACCTTGTGGTCTATGAGTGAGTGGCTGCAGTACAGGCATTTAACCACTGCTCCACCAGGGCTGATCAGATGGTGAGTTTCATTTCAGTGCAGCAATCAATCTATACCGTTTTTACTCTGAACTTTAAAGGATTTACTAAAGGTTTGGAGATAAGGTTCAGTACCTTGAATAGTTGCTTGGAAGTATGGATGAAAGCCCAGAATGAATTCATCACACCCCATGACACAGACTGCTCACCCCATGGTATAGCAACAAACAAAAGATCAGAATAACATTTTTATACTTGGAAAGATCATAATAATATTTTTATACTTGTTTGTTGGTCTCATGGCTTGTTAATTCTTAACCTTTGCCAGCTTTCCTGTTGTAGTCTTATGTTCAAAGATGTGTTCATTGTTGTTGTTATTGTTGTATGCCTTCAAGACATTTCTGACTTATGGGGCTGATGCAGATGGCCAAATTGGGGCGGCAGAGAGCCGCTCCGGGGAGCGACAGATCGGGGCTGGGGCAACCCCATGCCATGGCCCCAATCCTTCCTTTTGTCACCCCTAAAAGAGCAACAAAATGCCCCTTTTAGGGGCAACAAAAGACTGCCCTAAGAGCTAGCACTGCGGCTCTTCTGCACCCTTTCGGTGCAGTGTGCCTGCATGCTGCGCCAGAAGGGCGTCCTGATGCCACGCGTCACATGTGTGACTGTGTGGCACCAGGACGGTGTCAGGATGGGGTTGGGGTGGCTGGTATGCAGCTGCCCCGCCCCAACTCTACCCCCAGGCCAGCCCTTTGGGCCAGTCTGCAACAGCCCATGGTGTCCCAAAGTGAACCTATCATGGGATTTTCTTCGCAAGATTTGTTCAGAGGGGGTTTGTCATTGTTCCCCTGAGGCTGAGAGCATGTCACTTGCCCAAGGTCACCAAGTGGGTTTCATGGCTGAACAGGGAATTGAATGCTGGTCTCCAGAGTCATAGTCCAACACTCAAACCACTACGCCATGCATGCAGGATCTTGATTTGTTCATACATATTTGCAAAACTTTAGCCTTTCAAATTCTCCAAGAAAAATAACAGCAGCAAAAAATAAATAAATTTAGAATGGTAGACACATAATAAACTGATGTTAAAACAGAGGGTATGGGGTGGATGTATTCCCTCAGTTGGGCAACTGAAGTCATCCTAATAGTAGGAATAGTTGTGATGAACACAGGACTAGTTTGTTCCCAAATCCTGTATTCAATAAGTCCAAGGCCTTTTGGATACCAGTAAACCCACCCTGAACCCAAAGGCAAAACATCAAATATCATTGGGAAAAATAAATCATATTTACCCCATCCAATAAAGGTGTATCTCAGCAGCTGGTGTTTCTCAGAGACCACAGTGGACAATAACCTATGAAGGTAAATTCCTTCCACCAAAAGCCAGAAATAATTTGCCCCAACAACATAATGCATGAAAAGTGGGGCCAGCCTGCATAGGGCTAATGTCTGCAAAAATCAAACAATGTGAAGAAGGAACATTAGTAACATTCTTGGTGCTTCCAACAGAGATTAACCCATTTTGGCCTTCAGTTTATTGGCTGCATTATGGCATAACTGTTTTCTGGTCCTGAAGGCATATGTTTTGTTTTTGCTTTTTTATTGCTTATTGGTTTGCTTGTTTTTAGATATATATTTTTAAAATGCATTTATCAGTAAAGTGTATTTATATGCTTCAGAGGATAGTACATATCTTTTTCTCCCCCCCCGCCCCCATCCTCATATCAGCTCAGTGTGGTAGACCAGGCTGAGAGGGTGTCCAGGTACATAAAACATGAGTTTTATAGCTCAGTGGGGATATGAATCTGGATCTCTCAAGTACCAGGCCAGCTCTCTAACCATTAAACCACATCGGCTTTCTTGTTTTTCTTGCTTATAATTAGTATACCACTTTAGATATTTTAAAATAGAAAAGTGGTCTATAAACTTGATAAATAACATAACAAATATCACAGATATGCAACTGATTCAGTCAAATCCTAAATAAATGAAGTGAATTTGGACTGATCTACACCAGATCCAGATTGAATCAATTAGTCCCATTTAGTTCCAGAACAGAAAGGCACAGTCCAAAATGTTTCAGACTTATCTGGAGGTGCAGACATTTCCATAATCCTTTATGAGGAAAAAATCAAAGTGATGTGGTAGAGAGGGAAGGGAAGTGGGAATTGCCCCCTGATGGTTCTGTCATGCAATCTTGGACAAGAGAACTCTATGATCAGTAGATACTAGTATTCTACAATCATAATGCTTATGAGGAGGAATTATATAGGGATAGTGATGTAATAAACTCAACTATCTCCTCTAACATATCTTCATTCTGTACTAATACTAGATTGTGAGGAAGCTGTGGTGAGGGGTGAGTAATTGTTGATTGGCATCCTACCCTATTTCAATGAGTCTTTCTCTATTTAATTTCCTTTTCTCTTGTTTAAAATTTGGCCAAGTTAATCCTATCTTTATGGTCTACCCTGTCTCCAAGTGTGGGGAAAATATTAAGAAGTTATGGCATCCAGAGTGATCCAGATCATCAATTGATGCTGTTTAATATTGATATTGTGGGTTAGTACCTCTGGACCCAAAGTGGACATCCATCCATTTAAATCATTTGGCTTTTCTGAGTCTAAAGAAAGAAAGAAATAAGTATTGTGTGTCACACTGTCTTTTATAAGAACCCCCATGGCACGCAGGATGAACGAAGCAAACAGGTTCATATGGATGTAGTTTCTCGTGCAGTGCAGTTTCCTGTAAGTGGAGAGAAGCACATATTGTTAAAGGTTTAGGGAAGCTGGCTTTATTTTTAGAGGCATCATGACACATTTGTAGTCTACTATGAACAGTGCCAAACAGTGGCATCCTTCCTTAGTGGTGTCAGCATCTCCTCCACAAGGGATACTGAGAAAGTTTGCTTAGCAGAACCTCTGTCTTGTGAAATTTCAAATGATACAAAGCATCTTTTTGTGCAGGGGTAGGCAACCTTTCCCCTTTAAGGGCCAAGGGACTTCAGCTCCCAGAAGCCTCAGCCATGTTGGCCAATAGTCCCATGTTGGCCAATAGCCCCTGGGATTCTGGGAGCTGAAGTCCCTCGGCTCTTAAAGGGGAAAGGTTGCCTACCCCTGCTCTAAGTGGTTTACAAACATTAATGCCCCAAACAAGCTGTACTTATTTTACTGAACTATGAAGGGATGGAAGGCTGAGTCAACCTTGGAACCCTTGGATTGAACTCACAACTTTGTGGCTGCAGTACAGGCTACCAGGAACCCCATGTCCTCCATTTCAACCTTCTGTCCAGGAGGAATTTGAAAATGTCCTCCATTTTGAGTATGACTAAGAAGCATGCATTTATATTTACATGAATGTTTTTAGCTTTTATGTGGTCATGTCCTACATTTTTCTTGAATATCCTGCATTTTGTTGTACCCTGTCCTTGTTTGTGGTGAGGACATCTGGTCACCTTTTGTGGGGGGAGGGAGAAATGGTGGCAAAAAGCTTTGTGAGCTTTGCTGAGATTTGGCTGGCAGGTTGGAGCTGCACTGTTGCTCCTACTTTCTTGTATTGAACAGACTAGAAGAGGTTGCAGAAGAAACAATGTTTATGCAAGGGGGAGATAATTAAAGCTGTATGGGGAAGGCAGGTCTCTGGAGAAGGAGGGGGAGGAGTATCTGGGGTCAGTTCTTGGAAAGAGTGCTTTGCTTTGGCATGGCTCCTGTAGTAAGATTTCCGCACCCATGCCAGTCTTCAGTTCAGACCATGTAGCCTCTCTAAACCCCTCTACATACATGCAATCTGTGCCTTTCTTCTCCCTAAGGATTGAGAGTCCTTCTTCGCTGGATATAGCTTCTCCCTTTGCACTCAGTATATTTGGGAGGAGCAACTAATAGTTTTCTCACCTGCTCTGGCCTGTGCTGCAAGGCCAGCATGGGTGAGAGGCTTTCCTGAACCCCGGTAGTACCTATGGATTTCTCTTTTCATGAATTTATGCTGCAGAATTTTGCTTGTGTGGGAGATTAGTGCTATGGTCCTATAGTTGCTACAGTCTTTTGTGTCTCATTTTTGTGTAATGGTATGTATATTGCACATTTCCAATCTGTTTGCCACTGTTTTGTTTTCCATATTTTTGGCATATTTTAGTTAATACTAGAGTTGCTTCTGTCTGTGTTGTATCAAGCACATCAATTGGGATGTCTTATGTTTCTGGTGATTTATTCTTCCCAGTTTCTCTGAGTGCAGCTACCATCTCCAGTGTCTTTTATTTTTTTCATCTCTTTCATATAGCTCTTCTGTGTATTGCTTCCATCTTTTTTTTTAATCCCACACCCTTAATTAAATTCTCTGTCAAGGAAGTGGAGATTCCTCCTGATATAAAACATACCACTTGTTATTTTAATGTTGTAAGCCACCTCGATTATTATTATTATTATTATTATTATTATTATTATTATTATTGGTCAATACTCAGCCAGCTGCTCAGTTGCTGCTCTCAGGGTGACAGGGTGCAAAGGGAGCAGTAACCAAGATTGGTTGTTTGAATTTGCAGTAAACCAGTATACCTAATATCAAGAAATATGTGCTGGGGGGGGGGGTACTAGGGTTATTGCCTAAGAGGAAAGGGGGTGGTAGCCCAAAAAGGTTGGGGACCACAGTTTTAACGTCTAGATCAATAAACCACAGACTTCAGGGTGGGGTGGGGTTTCATATTATATAATTATAGCACTATGATTCTACATTAACTTCCACAGCAATATCCTATGGGATCCTGGGATTTGTGGTTATGGTGAGGCACTAGAGGTCTCTGACTGAGAATATTAAAGGGCCATCCCTAAACTGAAAATCCATAGGAGGTTGCCATGGGAGTTAAAGTGGAATCATAGTGCTATAACTCTGTGGTGGGAAAGGACTCCAGAGTCACCATACCCTGACATGAATGCCTTGAGCAGCTCCTGATGCCCGTTATTAAATAAAAATCTGTCTCTGTTTATCTATTTAT